TAGAAGCGATTATTTTCCACAAATAATAGGGCTGAAATTTCGCGCGCTCAGGAACGGCGAAATGACAAGTGATATAAGTGCTCCTATGAATATCGTTCTTTTTATATCACTTGTCATTTCGCCGTTCCTGAGCGCGCGAAATTTCAGCCCTATCATTTGTGGAAAATAATCGCTTCTAATTTAAAAACTATTATAGCCTCGACACTTTTGTATTAGGATTTTCGTCTGGAAATGTTCTAAGGAATCTGTCATTAAGAGGACCTCCGGTGGTTTTAGGACACCCTGTATTTTGATTATGCCGAAGTTATTTCTTATATTTAACTTTTTTGAATTGTGTCTCGACGTATGTTCTGACATTTTTTGATTGTCCTAAATTTTTATAAACTATATTGTAAGACTCATTTATATGTATTATAATATACAATAATTTACTTTCAATCATGATACGGTGTCTTGTCGTTTTTTTCTTTGATCTCGTATGTTCTCTTTTATTATGTATACTTTCAAAAATTATTTTTAATCTATGGACTTCATCTTTATTTAATTATCTTTATTGTCTTTATTTAATTCTAATTCTAATTTTAGAGTTTGTTAAAGGAAGTAAAGAGTTATAATTGTAGTCCCGACACACAAATTACATTGAGTACATTATTTATTAATTAGCTAGCAGAATTAACATCACGAACCGGAGGATGTCACGACATACGAAAATACCGCTTTCGTCAAACGAGAGCTTTCGTCACACCTTAATTTCAGTCATGAAAGCCGGATACCCGGTGATGTCACGATACTGGCTGCGCCGACTGCTTTCACTCGCCGTTAGCCTCCGATTTCCGATCCGGTCGCAATTTCGCCGCAATTGCGCAGGAAAGTAACGAGTCGAAGGAACGTGCCCTTCCCCGAGGGAAGGAAGTTGCGAAGAAGTCGCGCGGATTATGTCACCTCGGACAGAGGTCCGTCCTGGAATCGATGACTATCGCGCGATTGTGAAGAAGAATGATTGCCATCTACCTATTATACCGCGCGAGCAAGAAACAAATTAAAATTTTAAATCCTTGGATCTTCGCTCTTTGGACGATTGGCTTCTACTCGGGACTAGTCGTCGCTCGCAATCAGCCGCGACAAAGCGATCGGTTCATCGATGGTCGCGAGGAGCGTTCGCTGTAAAACGCTTAAAAAAAAGTACCGGAGGCCCAGATTCCTTCCGTCGTTTCGTCTTCTGCGACAAACGCACTCGAGTCAGCGTCGTCACCGCTTTCTCTGCTGCGTGCGAGAAAGTTTTTTTCTTCTTCTCGATCAAATTGATACACTGAGAGACCCATTTTGTTGAATAAAACAAAATTGACTCAACTAAATTGTTTGTTTGGATATGAGCAAACAAATCTTTCAGATGATACAACGAAAGCATTTAGTTGGAAAATTTGGTTATATCAACACACAAGTTTGGTTGAGTGAACATGCGCAGAATCCTTTTATAATATTCAACTAAACGATTTGGTTCACGCAACGAACACAATTATTTAGCATCAAGGATTATTTTATTTGTGTTTTGTGTTAAAATACACCAAAATTTTCAATAATTAAAGCACCATTGCAATAGCATATTCTTGAGACTAAAACAAGTAAAAAAGTCCTGTGCTACTTTTCCCTCCGACAAACAGTTATCGAGATATCATAAGCTAAACATTGAAAAAAGTTATAAATTTTCTCTCGAATATCTCAAATAGTATTAGGCAAATCAAAACATGTTTCAGACAAAAGTTGTTCATATTAGTAGAATAAGATAGTATAATGAACACAATAGGGAGTTCCTTTTAAAAAATTGAAGGTGACCTTCACGTGACCTTCATATGACTATCCAAGGTCAAGTCAATGACACCGCCTTATGTCCCCCTTCGAGCCAAACAACTTTTGTTTGAAACGTTTTTCCGTATCTTTCATATTTTTGGAGATATTTGCATGGATCATTTAAAATGAGACACCCTGTACATTTTAATAAATATGAAAACGACCTGGCAATTCTTTATCATAATAAAACACAACGTTTCGGTCAGTAATACTGGTCCTCTTCAGGTAACAAACTTACAAGAGTGCCTACAAATATAAGATTCGTCAGATTAGAAATGTGAAAATTAACTAGTCAGAATTCTTCAATGTCGCCAGCGGTAATTAACAACTTCAGCGTTTTTATTGACCATATCTGGCATTTTTTTTAATAATACAGAAAATTTTTTGCGAAAAAGATTACTTCAGCCAGGGTCGAATTGGTGAGACGCCCGCCTAGAGAGTAGGGAAGTCCAGGTTCAAACCCTGGCTGAGGTAATGTTTGTCGCAAAAAATTTTCTGCATTATTAAAAAAACCCAGATATGGTTAATAAAAACACTGAAGTTGTTAGTTACCGCTGGCCACATTGAAGAATTCTGACTAGTTAATTTTCACCTTTCTAATCTGACGAATCTTTTTGTATTCAATGTAAACTTGATAAATCGTTGAGTTGAATTCGCTTCTTAGTCGCGGAGACTTCCGCGTTGCGCCGGAAGTCCCCGAGAGATCTCTCCTGCGGAGATAAAGTCTTTTGAGAGACTGTAATTAGTTTTATTTTTCTTGTGTCATACATAACCGACCTCCTAGAGCGACCTGTTTCGTAAAACAATATTACTGTTGTCGCCACGGAGGACGCGTCGTTATGTAAATTCGCTTAGAATCTATTCCTTATATGCAATACTAATAAAACATATTTTTATATTTTCTTCTTGCGTCTTCTACGAAGCATAATTGTCGCGAACTCCAGAGAATCAAAATTAAAAAAATTGTAAACTACTTCTTGTGTAAAATTTAAACTAATCGTTCCGAGTTTGTTGCTGAGGATGACCAAGTTAGATCGAAACGTTCAACGTGTGTTCGTATGAATAAAATTGATTTGGAGATTAACTAATATCTTGAATCAACCTGTGAGTTGGTCGTGACTTATAATTTTTTTTTATAGCTCGCGGCATCATAAAGTTACGGCATTTTTCTTTCTCTCGCTTCTATGTATTTTCACTTGTCCCGTTTTGCAGGCGATAACGTTGCTGTCGGCGATCAGCATGATTTCGGCGCAATGTCTGACAGAAGACGATGTTCCCTCGATGATGGACCCGACGTCGAGGGTGTCGCTAATGGGCGCCCGCTTTGACTTCGCGCTCGACAGTTTGAAAAAGACCGCGTTGATCGAGTCGAGGGACAACATCTTCTTCAGCCCGCACAGCATACACCAGGCGATAACGCTGGCGTACTTCGGCTCTCGCGGCACCACCGAGGCGTCCCTGAAGCAAGCCCTCCGAATTCCAAATGAGCTCACCAAAGTCGACGTGCAACGTTCCTACGCCATCGAGAGATCGCTCAATCAAGTGGGTTCCCAGGTGAGCGATTCCGGCGCGATTGCATAATTACGTGATTTACTTCGTCGTCGCTGAAGGTATGTCAAGGTGACCGTCGCGTGGTTTATTATCCTTACACCACGCTGGGGATAGACCGCGCTTGGGTCTCCAAGGTGGCTGTTCGAGAATCGCGGATTCCCTTGGCCGACTTTCGTCTTGTTCAACGAGATCATCTTGTTCAGCGAGACATTGCACGGGCGACTTTAAATCACGTAACTTTAACGATTTCCGCATAAAGACACCGATAAGAAGTGAAAATGAATCTTTTGCCATGCATTAAAGTACTCGCAATGCGTCAAAACTTGCGCTGTAATATCGAAGTATACACTGAACAAAAGGCTTGGTTATAATAATCCAAACTCTGTTAAAAGTGGTACCTAGGTCTATGGTGAAATAGTTTCAACTAAACGCATAGGTTCTTATGACGATATAAATTAGTTGAAGTTAAAACATTGCAGAATTTAGTTGGCTCAACTAAATGCAAAATTTACTCTTTCAAAATGGTTACAATTATTACCAAACGTTTTGCTGTTATTATCAAATTCAGTAATAATAATGAAAATTCTTTCGAAAATTGTATCACTATGTGCATCTCACAACCTAGAATTTGTTTTCGGCGTAGTGGGGCAAAAGATCTTATTTGTTATCACAGATAATCTCTTGGAAAATAATGATTGTGATAAAGCGAAGTTTGCAAGATATTTTTAAATAAAACAAGAAAGGAAAGGAGGTGAAGCTCTAAAACTCTAAAATTACCGTAAGTTCTTGAAAAATGAATCTTAGAACAGGAAATTTTAAAGACTACCCTGCTCGCAGAAACATTTAACTTTGTGAATAAACGTAGTGAGCTGATAACATAATTTTTGAAATTGAATTTGTACAAAGAAGAAGCAGTAATAGAAAAGGTGGCTCAGGTAACAATGACAGTAACAGTTGAACAGGAACCACACGTATTAAAAAGTAAAAGTGGAGGAGGCTATAAAACACCTCAAATTAAACACAGCACCTGGCTTGGATGAGATCACAGCTGAAATGATAAAACTGCTATCTATTAAACCGGGGATAAAAACTTTCTAAAAGTCGCGCCTGTGTGAACGTACGAATACAGTTTGTAGAAACTCGTTACTTCAGCTATTTCGCGCAGAAACTCTCGGAAGTCTCGAAAGGAACGGGCTCATTTATCCTTGGCATTTTTCATTTCAGATGAGTAAGTCTATAGATTCCTACGATTATCAAATCGCCAATAGATTTTGGGTTACGAACTCCAAGATGCTGCGCGAGTGCATGCTCGACTTCTTCGGGGATCAGTTGCAAGTGACTGATTTCCGTACAAATCCCGCCGAGGTGAGGGATGAGATCAACAATTGGGTTGGCAACATGACGAAGGGCCACATTCGCGATCTCCTGCCGCCGAACAGCATCATGGAAGATACCGACTTGGTTCTGGTGAACGCGGTTTACTTCAAGGGCCTGTGGGCCCATCGTTTCGACCCGAAGAATTCCAAGCGCGATATCTTCTACTCTTCCGGCTCGCAAAACTCTGTCACCACTTTCATGCGTCAGAAAGGCAACTTCAATCACGGTAAACGGTCACTTACTCACTCAAGCTTCATTTCATTCACTTATCTTTACGAAATTTGACTCCTTTAATTAATTGTAAACGAAATATTCTTTATATTTTACTTGCACCCAGGGAAAAATGGAAATATCTCATTATACGTCTCAATCATGTAATATGTAATTATATCCAATTCTAAAATCAACAGATCTTCAGAGAGCTGACACTTTTATGGAATATTCAATGTTTATCATCTGTTGAGAACAAATTGTGTTTTCTTAGGACATTTAATCATAAATTTAGTTAGATCTCAATAGATAACATTGAACATTCAAGGAAAAGTACCAAATCTCTGAGGATCTAATAATTTTTATTGTAGAATTGGATCTCGTAAGATATAAAATTAGATATTACACGATTGAGACATATATAATGAGATTTTTCCATTTCTCCCCGGGCAGAAAATTTGTTCGCATCTGTGAAGAAATAACGTCGTGCATCTTGATAAAATTATAAATATCGAGATGAAATTACAGAAACGACCTTCCATTTAAACGTATAGAAGGCATCACGCGGATGCTTAAAAATCGCTAGAAATCCGACGTGTCGTACACTGCGACCTGATACTTCAACTTTCATTCGTCTACTTTCTTTCTAATCTCAAGTTCTTTTCTCTTCAGCTGTCTCCGAAGAGCTAGGCGCGTATGTCTTGGAACTGCCCTACAAGGGCGATGAGATATCAATGTTCGTGCTGCTTCCTCCGTTCTCCACCGCGCGATCTGACCAGAATCCTTCCGACGAGCCGCAGGACGGCATCCGCCAGCTGGTGGAGCGTATGGCCACGGAGAAGGGGTCCCGAGAGCTGCGCGAGCTGTTGGACGACGGGTTGCCGCCGCGCGAGGTCGAGATCAGCCTGCCGCGCTTCGAACTCGAGCGTGAGCTGCCGCTCAACCAGCTGCTGTACGCCCTCGGCGCCGGCGAACTGGTGACACCCGACATGGCCGATCTGCGCGGCTTCGTCGCGGACGGCGAGCAGACTCTGCACCTCGGTGACGCCGTACACCGGGCCCGTATCGAGGTGACGGAGGAGGGTACCACCGCGGCCGCGGCCACCGCGATCTTCACCTTCCGCTCCAGCCGACCCACCGAACCCGCCGTCTTCAACGCCAACCACCCGTTTGTTTACCTGATCTACAACAAGGCTGAGCACACCATTCTTTTCACCGGCATCTTCCGCACACCCGGCGTATCGCACGCGTCGCAGCCCCTAACTCCCGGTGCTGTTTAGATGGAGTTTACCCCCCCCCCCCCCCCGTGTCGTTTAGGAGAAACTTATCCTCGGGAAGAGTCGAGCGGTGAATGATGCGCCAAGGGTTGACAAAAATTCACCCTTCCACTTGACTAGTTGACACCATATTTGACAGGATCTGTTTCTCGCGTGGCGTTGAACGATTTTTGTTGACCGGAGAACGGTTGGTCCTTTGGGCCCTTGCGAAACCGACGTCGATTTTTAAGCTCGCGAACTTTCGACGGGCCGAGGAAAAAGGGCCTACCACTTTCCCGCGATTTTCCGAGCGGAGTCTGTTGCATGAATCTCATTAATTTATTCTCGTATTGAGGCTTTTATACTTTTTGTGACGTCTTATTTTTAAAGTTAGATAAAGACGAGTGTGAAAACCAAACACAAATTTACACGTAAAGACGTTGACGTTTATTTCTCGACGATTCTGTGTTATAGATAGTGAATCTCGACGAGCGATGATTTCGACTTGAAACAGTTGTTTAACGAATGGTTTTTCTTCCAACCCGAAAAATCAATCACTCTAATGTGTCCGGATAAAATCCTCAAAATTGTAAAGGAATGCGGAGATTTATGTAATGAGAAAATGAATAAAGGGGCTTTTAAATATATACTTTTATGTATAATTATACATGTGCCCTTACGCCCAGTTTCTGACTCTGCCGATAAAATTTCCACTTGGTGCATGGATCTGTGCTATGCATTCTGACATCTAATTTATAAAATTTACATTGTCTACATGAGAAAAGTTGGTGTAAATATCATGCAGATAATTTATGTTAATGTAGTTTTGAATTTCACAGCACAATCCTGAAAAGTAGGCGTAGCATGGACACGCACAAGGTGGTGACTTTATCGGCAGTGTCTGAAGATGCACAGCAAAATAGTTCCAAAAGGACAAATGGGCGTAAAGGCGCGCAAAACAGTCTCTTGAAACGATATCAAGTAAAACGCCGGCGTGGCCGCTCTCAGGTTTCTCTCTGGCAGTACGCTCCGGCATAGGGCACAAAATTGGGAAGAGGGTAAAATTTTAATAACCGTCAATAATTTTTTTTAGTGTTAAAAAATATGTGAAAATTGACCGCTCAGGAATTATCTTAGAAGTACAATGACGCAGATGCAATTATCCGATGTAGCAATCGATCGAGAGTGAACTGCATGGCGAACAATTATGAGTGTATCGTCGAAACCTCTCCAAC